CAAAGTTGAGTCTTAACATTTCTGTCCTCACTTTATCTTAATATATTTGTATCAGCATGGTGTGAAATTCTGGGAGTGCCTGGATCTGTGGAGTTACCCCCACTCTTTTGTTCTTGCAGATGGTGTTAGGCCATGCTTTCTGGAAAGATCTCCATAATATGCAGTAATAGTTTCAACCATCTTTAGAAAATGTCTCAAGATAGTCTGTAGTCTCAGAGTTTAACTAAAGAGTATTTCAAATAAATTAGTCACGTTTCCTTCTAGATTTCTCTTTTTTTAGTGCTTTAGATACCTCGAACTAAAGTAATTCTGTCATTTTGAGACCTCCTACAAACTCAAGAATAGGATAAATTCACAAACTAATCCTTAATTTTGTGCAAGATTGTGTTACTGTAGATATTTAACAGCTGACAAGCTCAAAAGTTTATACCATCAGATCTTTAAAAGGTAAAATCTTAAGGTTAAGAAAAATCCTGTAATCATCATCTTGTTGCTCATGTAATAAATCCTAATTAATATTAGCGAGTTTTGTTAAGAATGGATAGAGGAAAATAAAATATATATGGTATGTTTACTGTTCATTAAGTCAAATTGATTATGTTCCTTTTGGCCTAATGTATTTCATCTGCAAACATTAGAATTTACCAGTATTTTAGGAGAGAAAGTGTAGGGATGATATAAAAATAGAATGTAAAATATTAAATTTTAGCCTGTGGTGGAGAAATTACTAAGGGAGATGAAAATCTGCAAGTCAGAAATTAATTCATTTTGTCTGAATGAATATTATGAAATGGAAATAGGTGATTTTCCACTTTAAAAAAACTCCATTTTTTGAAAAGATATTTTTCAGACTTTGCACAGTATGATACTTTGAGCTGAAGGTATTACTTCCTGTATAGATTGGTTTGGTTTGGTTTGGTTTTCTGAGTATGTAAAACCTTTCCAGGGTCCTCTTCCTTCACACTTATAATAGCTGAATTACTACAGTTATTAATTACTGAATAACTCTTCACGTAGTATCCATCTGCATTTTATCCACCTGTGTGTACTGAAGTCAAACATTACATGGCTGTATAATGCCATCTTGGCTTACTGCGTGTTGACTTCCCATATAGACTTGCTTTTAACCTCTTCACCTGCCTTCCATATTGCTGGCTGTAGGGTTTGTCTACATGGTATACTGAATAAACTGCACAGAAGCGGTTTACTTTTACTTAGACTAAGAAAAGGAAAGAATAATGAGCCTAGTCACTGAGTTAACAGATGTGATAGGCTACATTACAGTCAATGAGTTGCGGGTACTTAGCACCTCTCTGTAAGATACAGTTCAAAAGTCACTGAGTTAAAATGACCACTGAACTTCCAGTGTTTGAATTAGCAAACCTAAATATGATTTTTGGAACAGATGCATCCTGCAGAGTACCGAGTAGTCTGTCCAAAGCCCAGTAAGAAATCTAAGCCTGGCTGTAACTCTGTACAGGAAATGCATTGGGAACTTTCATTTCATTATTGGTTTTAGACAATCAAAGTGTGGGCTGTTACTGAAGACAATAGTTCATTTAGTATATGACTGCACAGTCTGTTGCAGTGAGGGTAGCAGGAACCTACGGCTAGAAGAGAGCAATTACACCTCAGGTAATAATCTGTAAATTTAAACTTGCTGTGAAACTGCAGTTGAAGACAGCTCAACTGTTTGAAATTCAGTACTCGGCTACTTTTCTGGATCCAGTCCCCAGTTTGCACCGAGTTCTACAAACTGATATGTAGCTCTCTTTCAAAAGGAAGGAAGAGGAACCAGGAGAGCTGATAAGATATTATGTGTGCTTAGCAGAGGGTGGTTATTTTATTGGCATACATAAGTTTCAGTACTCTGTAGTTCCTGTTCTGCAAACAAACTATTTGTAAGTACAGCATGAAACTTCATGTGCTTGTCCTCTATAAGCCTGTCTTGCTGACCACTGACAGGACAACTTTTAACAAATATCCTTATTTCAGCTATCACACTGGATGCTTAAAGTCCAATTCCTGTGAATTTTGGAAACTCTGAAACTGCTTTAGTGAATGTGGTAAAGAAATGTTTCCTGCTAGTGGCACTTTTTTGAGACACTTTAGGGAAAGTTCCCTTTTTTTATCATGGTTACTAATGAGGACAAGGTTGTAGTTCAAGGTAATGTGTGTATTCCTTATGGCTTTGATGATAGGCTTATTAAACTGTTGTGCTTGTTGGTATGTTTTCATGCTGAATGCTTTGACACTTGTTCATAAACAAGGTATTAGTGACTTTTAAAATTACATTTAAAGCTGCTTAGTAAATAGTCAGTTGTATTTCAGCAAGAAATTAATGTGAACATTATTTTCTGATATTGTGACCTATTTTGAAGGTTAAGGAATTGATCTCTAAGAATTTTGAACATTTGTAAAACACTTTGTCACTTCACAGGCTCACAGAATGCAGAAACTTGGGTCCGAGTTCAGGGGAGATGTGTGTTCCCATTATCTGTATTTTGTTCAGAAGCATTTTGAAAACTGAAAACCAAAAAGTTTAAAAACTTATTTATCTGTAAGTGTGCTTTTGTGAAATTTAGTGTTGTTCATCTTAACCATATATTGCTCTTTGTGTTTCCAGATTGTCAGGTCTTAATACTAAAAAATGAGGTAGATGGAAAAGGCGGAAGAAATTGTTTGTGCAAGTTGGCTCACATAAATGTGCCATTTGCAATGTCAGTTTTATCCAGTAGCATAAGCAGACCTTTTAATGAAGTTCAGTTCTGTATTTTCTATCAGTGGGGTTTTTTTGTCTTTTCTCTTTTTTCTCCTTCTATCTTCTCTATGCTGCTGGTATTTCTCCAGAGAGTATGATTCTGACCTTGCATGTCCCCTCTATATCACTTCACGGGAACTGTTCTTCTGTTTCTCCTCCTTGTTCTCAGCTGTAGCAAATCTATTCTTCAAAGATGTTCCTCTTGACTAACTGATCTTCTCCATTTTGTTGTTGGGTATGCGTAGTTCCACAGTTAAGATCCTTGTGTAAAGGGTTATTCCACCAGAACCTGTGGAAAAAGTTAGCAAATCTTGAATGTTGTCTGCAGCTTTCTTCTCCTTTGTGCTTTACACTTCTGTCTGATTGATACAATTCAGTGCAGTTGCATCTTTAGTATTTGTTTTCTTCAGTGAGTTAAATGAGATCATTGTTCATACAAAAGTATTTTCTATTAAGATTCCTTAAAGGAATCCTTGTGTATTTCTTCCTCGGTTTCTGCATCCTGGCATCTTTTTCTTCCTCCTTTGCCAGTATGCTTTCACAAATGTTTTTACAGCTATATGATTCTTGAGGTAAACAGTTTTATTGTGTAGGATACAAGTATGTACTTCATATCTCTGTGGCTGTTGGCAATTCATTTTTTTTTGCAGGTTACTGCAACGTCTCTTAAGTATCCGTGCCTTATAGGTATTAATTTAACTTTGTATACTTGGTTGGAGAAAATCTCTTAATGCTTAGAGATGAGATAAAGGTAAGTCAGAAATATTTGAATAGCACAGCTCTCCGGATTTCTGAAAAAATAGCAATGAAAATTGTTATGAAATGCATCTTGAGCTAGAGAAATGCAGTGAGCAAGAAACAGCTTCAGTTTCAGCTTCAAATATTTAGAGGTACCAACACTTCCTTCAGCAGTATGTACAAAACTAGATAGTTAATGAGTCAAAACTTGTGTGCCTGTAGGTGTAAAATATGCATAGGGACAGCTCTGGAATATGCATCCAATAAGTACTGCTTATACCATCTCTAGACTTCCAGAAGTGAGAACTGCATTCATTGCCTTGACTTGTTACTGTTTTTCTTTTACTTCAAAACATATTTGTTAACTTTTAATTATTGATTTGATTTTAGTTTGCCATTATAAAACACCGCTCTGTTTTTGAATATGTGGGCAGTGAAGGCAGTAGTAGTTAATTTTTTATAGAAAGCATTAATTTCTGTGCATATGGAAATTCTTCTTAATATGAAGAACAGCAGAAAATTATATAATATTCTGAATAGCAGTAATGCATTTTTTAATTTCCTTGTAATATATTGTGCTTGCAAAATGAGAATTGCTTTATTAGTCTCCTGCACTAAGTTAATGCTCTAATTGGTGACAAAGGGCAGAGGAGACCACGTCAGCTTGGTCAAAGTTCATGGTAGAGATGAGGATGATACAGCTTTACTAATGTAACGTTTGTGGTGGTGCAGTATGAGAAAGTAGGTGTGGTCACCTAGTCATCTATATTCAATTAATTTTTTCCGAGCAGGATAATCAGCAGGACAGATTTAGCGCTGTCTCCCCTGCAGCTCTTCCACCCCACGTCTTCCTATCCAACCCTGCTTTCCCACAACTCTCTTTTTCTTTCAGCATCAGGCATACCTCTCATTTTCATTTAAAGCAGCGCAACCCTCACCCTGTATTGTGCTGGCACTATGTTATCTGGCAACGCAGATACTGCAACCTGAAAAACTTTGGAGATGTGAAAGAATGAGATCTCTTCATTCTGGGAATAGCTCATTGCAGCAGGGGTACTGGGCATTCTGCAGTATCACAGTGTGGGGCTTTTTCACTTTGAAAATACCTTCTGAGCCTTTACCTACATAAAGAAATCCATAATTGATTTAACTTGGGAGATTTCTTTGTGAAACCAGGTATTGGAAAGCTAATTATCAGTTAATAGTCCTTATTTTACTTTATTATTTTTACAGATAAGAGATATTTCATTTCATTTCTCTGTTAGTTATCACTACTTCTAATATTCTGATATGCTTCCCCACTTGTAATCATGTATTCGAAAAACATTTTGAAGTGTTAATCTCCTTTTTCTTTTTAAATATCAGATTAGGTTTGTTGTTTTCCTTTGGCTGAGCTCCCTGGATAACTTTTTTTAATATGCTGATATGCAAGGGAAACATCTATCTGCAATATTACCTTTTAAGCCTGGGTTTGGGTTTGGGTTTTTTTTTTCTGTTTCAGGAAGAAAAAAGTCAAGAAATGTCTACCAATTTAAAATACCTTTCCTTGGGCATCCTGGTTTTTCAGACCACAAGTTTAGTCTTGACTATGCGTTATTCTCGGACACTGAAAGAAGAAGGACCTCGTTACTTATCCTCTACTGCAGTAGTTATTGCTGAACTTCTGAAGATTTTAGCCTGTGTTCTGTTGGTCTACAAAGACAGCAGTATGTATCAAATTTTGCACCAAGTAATTTTCCTAATCAATATGCTGTATTTTAGTGGCAACTGCAAAGCAGCCATGTGAGTACAGGCGTACAGCAAAGCATTTCCCTTCTCCTCGTGTAAGAAATAGTCTTGGGAAGACTAATCATACTTCACTTCTCAACACACAATTAGAAGATACTGTATATTTGCTGAAGAGTTCTCATTAAAGAATGTGGATACTGAGGAGTGCAAGAATAAATTTTCTGCAATAGCTTGAAGCTTGTGTTTGCTCAGGCATTTTAAGAAATTCATATATAGAAGTAGGAAAAAATTAAAAGCTTTAAGTGTATCCAAAGCATGAATGATAATTTAGAAGCCTGTAATAAACAGCAGACGCAGAAGGGAGGAAACAATTTCATTACAACAGGAAGAAGCACAGTTTTAAGCTCAAAAAAGTATATTCAGATTTACTCCAGTTCTTATTTTGTACATTTTATACTGAATTTATCTGGTTCATTGACATATATATTTGATCTTCAACAGCTTAAAAATATCATCGTATATGCATAAACTGTGGGCTTCTAAATGTGCACTTTTTAGGTGATACTCTTTAATGTATCATCTTCAAATATCGATATGGTTTCAATAAGTTTTAAAGTATTTTGAATAATTGTTCTAGTTCTAATGTTCCAGGCTACAGGAAGACTTTTTGCAGCCTTTTTTTCTTACACATATGAGGCTCATGAAAGTCAAACATAGATAGTATTTTGAGGTCTTGATAGCAGTGATAGCTACAAAAAGGGGGCAACAATCTTCAAGAACAGAACTTTGGTATCTCTCTTTCCTTTTTTTTCCTCTCCTTTTAGTGAATGTCTATTTCTTTTATTGTTTCTTTGGGTAGAGTGCAATTTACGGACTCTGAACAGAGTGCTACATGATGAAATCCTTAATAAACCCATGGAAACTCTTAAACTTGCTATTCCTTCAGGAATTTATACTCTTCAGAATAACTTGCTGTATGTAGCATTGTCAAACCTAGATGCAGCCACGTACCAGGTATCGTACATTTGGATTTCTCTGTAAGTTTCAAAAAAAGCCATGAATTATGTGGTAGTAACTGTTTCTGGGTTCTTCTAGGTTACATATCAACTGAAAATTCTTACCACAGCATTGTTTTCTGTGTCCATGTTGAGCAAGAAATTGGGTGTATACCAGTGGCTTTCATTAGTAATATTGATGACAGGAGTGGCATTTGTGCAGGTAAATATTAACAGGTGGTTTGTGTTTATTTAATGTGTTTATTCAAGGAACCTGGATTTCTATACTGATTATACAGCTTTGTGATTCTACCAGCTGCACATGAGCACTAGAGTATGGTCAAGAGCTATGAATCACAACTGGCCAGGGCTAGAGGACACCAGAAATGGTTCAAAGGCAGAAGATAACACCTCTTTTGTGTCCCAGTGCTCTACTGTAGAATGTGACAAGGCCTCTGGAGCAACCTGCAAATGACACTGATAGCAGTGTTTATTAGCACACTTCTTCAGACATGAGGGATTCACAGATCTTCTGTGCCAGCGCAGTCCTGCTGCTCACCTTGTGATATGGTTTCAGCATGGCAAATTTCCTTTTTCAAGAGGCAAACTTGGCCTCTGTTCTAAATAGTGCAGGTACAGGAGTCTGTAGTTTTCAGAGGGCAAGATCATGGGATAAGAGACTATTCTAAGAATTTTTAGCAGATTTTAGTATAGCCTAGAAATTTTTATTTTAAAACTTAAGGATTTGAAAAAAAAATCTGAGGATGAAATTTGTAGAATTTTCAAATTTAATAATTGAGGACAAAACATTCTGATAGTAAATAACAGACTCATCAGTATGTTTTTGTCTATGGCATAGCATTTTATTCTGTTAGCATCAGATATATTGCAGGATTTAGCTTCATAAATTTCAGCTTGTTTTAGTTGTCAACATAATCACTGAAGAGGGGCACATGCAAAAGGCAATTAATCTCATCTTAAAGACAGCTGGTGTAAGCAGTTTTCTAACTGTGCTTATGTTTGTAAAGTAACTAACTGTCGGGTGGCAAAAGTTGGTGACTGTGAAAGGCCATGGTAAGTTATGCTGGGATTCAGAAACAGTTCTGGCTTGTAAAACATAAATCCTGGACCTGTTTAAATTGATGGGTGTTCTCCCAGTTCAGGCACAGTTTTATTCCTTACAATAAGTAGAAAGAAAAATTATGGCTTTCCAGTCCTTTAAAAGTATTTATGCTTCAAAATACAAAACTTTACAAGCATGTGATTGTATTTAGTAACTGTTACTGTTACTAGAAAACAAATCTGCATTTTATAGATGCTCATGACTTGATTTTATCAGTGAATTTTGTATAACTGTTTTTATATCCAGTGGCCTTCAGACTCTCAAGCAACAGCTGCTAAGGAACATTCAGCAGGATCTCAGTTTGTAGGCCTGATCGCAGTTCTTATAGCATGCTTTTCTAGTGGATTTGCTGGGGTTTATTTTGAGAAAATTTTAAAGGAAACTAAGCAGTCTGTGTGGATCAGAAATATTCAGCTTGGTAAGTTTAATTTTAGTCATCTCTTAGAGATACTGCATTCTGAAGAATTAAGAGAAATATGCAAAATACATATATAATAAAAAATATCACCAACATTTTAGTATTCTGCATAAATGTACTTTTAAAATTAAGAGTATAAACTCTGCTAGGTAGAATTCTAGTAGTTGCTTTCTGATCTCAACCTAGTTCTTGATTTAACTTGCTTATAGAGTGTCCATAAGTTTGCACAGAATCTGTCCATTGAATTTGTATTTAAAATTTTCTAAAGAATGTTATCTTATGCAGGATTCTGTGTATCCTCTGTTTAAAAATTGTCTTTTGCACTAATTCATAAGATCTGATAAATATAGATAGTATTCCCTTTTTTTTTTTTTTTAGAGAATATAGGAACATTAAAAAGAATACATTTCTAAATCAATGCTTTGAGATATAAAATTCACGTTATTTTTTTCCCTTGTGGCTGGGTAGGCAGTTTTTATAGGTTTGCACTTTTAATTAAAAAAAACCACTTTGTGAATAAAGTTGAGGTAATGAATTACTATTTCAGTACAAAGGTCAGTTTGTTTTAGTTGTCTATATAATCACTGGAGAGATGCATATGGAAAAGACAGTTCATCTTAACTATTTTAATGCCCTTTCCTATTGTGCACCTATCAGCAAGAGAATGCCTTCTATTTCCAAAGTAGTTCTGGGTCTTCTAGACCCTAGATATTAATGGGGACAGAGTTGATCCATTTTCCTGAATGAGTTTTCCCTCACCTCAGAGTAATTTTGTCCAGTTTATAGGGTTGGAAATGTGACATCAGCAATATCTTTTTGTTGCTGTTTTGCAACAGAAATAAAACTTACTGTTGGAGTTGGCATTCTTTCTCTAATGGAATCCCTCTAGTTTTCACCTGTTGGCAATAATTATTTATTGCACATTTGAATAAATGCTTTCAGCAGAATTTGAACTTTCCAGCACCCTAGAACAGACTCTTGATCAAATCCACAGTACTGTAGAATTAAGTCATGAGGATGATTTAGTAGATCAGGGCTGTGTACTGAGTCTGGTAGAATGTAACGAAATACCATAAAAACAGGCGTGGGGTTTTTGTAATTAAATAGTTGGTCAGAAACTGATATGGTCAAAAATGTCTGAATGCAAGCAATATTTTTTCCTTTCTTTTCCTGCTGCTGTGTTTTAATTATAAATGGTTTCAGTTAAAAATGCAGAACTGCATTTTTATTATATTTTAATATTTTTACATGTCCATAATGTTTTGAAACTTGAGGATAGAGAAGGGGATCAAAACCTCTGCTTAATATCTGCTAGTATTTATTGAAATTGTGTATATTAAAACTAAGTTTTCTTGAACAGGGTGTAGGGGATACCTCAGGAGAGGTTATGTTAGAGAATTTTGGAGGCAGAGAAGGGTGGGTAGCTGGGGCTCAGTCCAGCATTTAAGGTAAGATTTGGTGCTCTGAATGGAGCTACAATGTAAAATCCATTACCAAGGAAAGCTGGTTATTATTGCTCTGAATTTCCATGCTAGAAGCAGTTTGTTGGGCAACAATGCAGATATCTAAAACAACTTCCAATTAAACATTCATAATTATTGAAAAATCAATGATCTCTTCTAAAACATTCTTGAGATTTTTCTACAGTGCACAGAAGTATGTATGAAAACAAATGAGTTCGCTAGTTTGATAGGCGGCGTGGTCACAAATTGAATGTTCCAGTAGTTGCTTTGTGAAAACAGTGAGATCAGAACAGGCTGCATCTAAACACAAACTGTTCAAGGTAATGAATAACTAGGACTGTGATATATGAAGACATAAATGTCTGTGATAATAGTGAGAATTGAATTACCTGATTTTTTTTTTTTATTTTATTTTTTGTCAGTGAGCTTAATTTGCCTCTATACAAAATTCAGTAGAATACATTTACTATTAAAGTTGTTTTCAGTTCATAAATGAAATTAGTTTTGTCATACTTCATAGAGGGTTTCCTGATACAGCTTTTAGAAAATATTTGAAACATGAAATCACAATTTCAAAAATAGGTTAGTGTATCCTTTCTGCAAGTGCAAGATAATTGCCCACTTAAGACATTGTATCATTCAGAAGCAAGTCAGTAGTAAGCAAGGGCTTTGAAATAGAGCTTTTCTTAAAAGACAAACAACAAAACCCGTATGTCCAACCTGGTTTTCATTTTCATATCTGTAGCGAATTGCTAGAACTGTAGAAAAAATTGGAAAATATATTTGAATAATTTTAGAAAAATACAGTTTTTAATGTATACCAGTGTCATATTAGGGATGTACGAATAGTTGATTTTATTTTATGTTAGCAGATCAATTGGAAAATAGAAGTAATTGGTTTAATCTGAATGAAACCTAAATTTTTAATTATGTCTAAAAAAAGAATTATTTCTTGTTAAACGGAAGGTTTTATCTTCTCCTAAACAATGCCGCCCTTTTCAGACACAAAGAAATGCAATGAAGATAGAGGTCAGCTTTTCACAGAAACGGAATAGAAAAAATGTTCCCCCTTTCCTGCTCAGGATTAGAGCCTACGTCAGTCACAGAGGAGGTGCTTGCATTACTTCAGTGACTGAGGGGATTAGGAAAAATTTCCCATCTGATAGAAGAACACTATACTCTCCAGATTATAAAATTTTGAATCTGGTCTCAATTTCTTTTGACGTTAAGTCTCTACTAGTAAACGTTCATTGTGTTGGAGTGGTTCAGAAGAATCCCACTTCCAAGATCCTTCTCTGAATTGGCAAACTGATTTAAGTCCTGCTCTTGCTGTGTCAGTGACCATCTCCTCCACTGAAGGTTTTCCCTGTTTTTCTCTCCAGTTTATAGTGTGACTTCAGCCTTCAATCCTGACTAGTTTCAGGAAAACTGAAATTGTGTTTAAGTGAATTTTGCTATATGCAAATAATGCCATCCTATTCCAGTAGAAAGCAATGGAAGATAAGTATGTAAGAATGTACTAATGGAAACAGTCAAAACTAGTGGAAAGTAGCTTTTGAATTAGAAAGTGTGGAAAATAGCTTTTAAAAGAGACTACCTGTCTGAACACTGATTGCATTTGAATGTAATGGTATTGCAAGTGGCAGTCCTATTTTAAAATCAGATATATGTGAGCAGTCCTTGGGGACAAGGAACCTGTTTGCATGGTTTTCACCTGAACCTTTTAAATCAATCTTGTACTTTCAGGATTTTTTGGTAGCATATTTGGACTGATGGGTGTATACATTTATGATGGAGAACAACTGTCAAAGAATGGATTTTTTCAAGGATACAATAAACTTACTTGGATAGTTGTTGTTCTACAGGTGAGATACATTGCATCACATGTTTTTGTGAAGGCACTTGGGATTTACTCTTCTATAAATGACTGGGGAAACTAATGGGTGCCATTGAAGCTACTGAGAATGCTACAGTCAAAAGTCTGATCTATCACTATTAGAATAAACCTCTAAATAAAAACCTGGACAATATATAGCAAGCATATGACTTAGTATTGTGCAACATAAAAGTATGTAAGCATTATTTCTTTTGCAACGTTTAAAAAAAAAATATGCCCTTCCTCCTGTGGCTAAAAAATGAATAGTACAAGCATTTCCACTAACTTAATGATGGTAATATGATCAACAATTTCTTTAATGGGGAAAGAACAACTCCAATGTTTATCTTCAACAGTGCATATCCATAACATAAAATAAATGTAATGCTCCTAAACAGAGACAAAAGCTTTTCCTAAAGTAAGCACTTGTTAAAATAGATGCTCTTGGTGGAATTATGAGGTTGCAAATCCAAACCTCAATATTTTTTCAGGCACTTGGAGGGCTGGTGATTGCTGCTGTTATAAAATATGCGGACAACATTTTAAAGGGATTTGCAACTTCTCTCTCTATTATACTGTCAACGTTGATCTCCTATTTCTGGCTGCAAGATTTTGTCCCTACAAGGTAAGAATTATTTTCCATGTATGCTGAAAAAAAAAAAATAGTTGAAAACTTAATGCTTACTAGATATAACTGCAAAAATAAATAAGTAAAACTGTCCAAGCCACACTTTTAGAATGTTTACATGCAACTTGCACATAAAAGTTTAGTTTCCTAACATATCATAACGGATACTTAATTTTTTCAGTATAGCTGGCAAGATGAAATTTTCTGTAAGACACAGCCCTCCCCAAGACAGGAATCTCAAATCTTGGCTTTTGACACACGACTCTCTTGCAGGCTCTATGTTTTAGTTCACTGTCCCTTTCTCTTCTTTTCCTCCTTACCTGATCTCCCTCAGTTTGTTCAGCTCCTACTTTGCTTTTGTGCTGAAACCACTCCTCTCTAGTTTTGATGCTTGCCTTGCACTAACTGCCTTTGGCTCTGCTCTTTGAACCAGCCCCCCC